CCAGAAATCTTACTAATGAGCTTCTAAATGTTAGTGAGTGGATTCAAGCAATTAACTGCGACTCAACTATGAAAAACCAAAGTTATGTTATTTAACTTTCCAAAGACGTGTGCTAGTGAAGTAAAAATAGATATGAATGGAAATCTGATTGAACATACGAGTTCAACCAAGTTCTTAGGCATTAATATTGATAAAGATCTTAAGTGGAAAACACATGTCTATGAAGTTCTACGTAAAGTGTCTAGAACAATAGTAATTATGAGTAAACTTAAAGACATCTTGCCAACCAATATTCTTATAATGTTATACAACTCACTAACCTTGCCTTACATATCCTACTGTAACATTATATGGGGTTTTTGTAAACAACATTTACTTCATCGTACTTTCCTCCTACACAAAAGAGCAGTTCGTATAATTTGCCACGAGCCATTCTTAAGTCCAAGCCGACCTCTATTCTTGAAACTGAATATTCTCCCAATATCATATATAATTACATGATTTTCAACTCTGTGTTTTTATGTATTCATATTAATACCAGAATTGTTTTTGTAATATATTTCAGAGCAATAACGAAATTCATAGATATAATACCAGGACTTCAGCAGACACTCGTGTAATATAATTATGGTAATTCGTCATTTTCGAATAGTATCTTTTTTTTCCCAAGGACCCACTGTTTGGTACAAACTACCCCCTAAATTTAAACAGTGTGCATCTTTAAACAATTTTAAGCATAATCTAAAACTTCACCTGATACAGAAATATTTGAATATGACAAACGCAATTTTTATGTGTATAAAGTACATTGTATTTTCTTTGTCCCTTTTTTCTTTTTTGTTTGTTCATTTTTAGGATCATCTACCAATAAGTTTTTGTAACGTTTTGATGATCCAACCACTTCCTAATTTCCTTAAGTGATTTTCTATTGTATTGGTTTATCTATGTTTGCAAGAAACTATTGTATTCTTTGCATTTGTATGTTTTTATGAAAGTGGTGATTGAATTCAATTCAATTCAATATAATATAATTATGCTTGCAACAGATGTTCATCCCCACACGTTTACACCATCCATGATATAGGCCTATGTTTTTTTTAACCCTATGTTGACAGTTATCTCATTGGCATCAGACCATTGATCGAATGTGAGATTCTGCAATGTTTCTACTAAATCAATACAAGAAATTCCCGGTTGGAAAAAAGTTGCATACAATATCTACTTGATGATTTCAGTGGGTTATTTAAGAAGATCAGAAAATGGGTAGGGCCTAATATGATGGACAGAAAAAAACCAGTTGAGCAAATGTAAAACAGCACGAAGTTTTTTAAGGAATTTGGTTTAGTATTTTTCCGGCCAATAATGCATATCTTAAACATAATGCCATTCAGACACCTTGCTGATCTGCAATGTGGTGAAGAGGCGTGGGGGATTTGCTACGTTCCAGCTGACAGACTCTCAATATTTTCTTTATACCCACTAAATTGACATGAATGATGTTATCAAATAAAATGTAGACACCAAATAAAGCAAGCATTATGAAAGAAATGCATAAATGTACAAAATAAGCACTTTTAATTGAGGCTATAGGTGTCAGTTGCAAGGTACTTTTTTGTTATAATACTCTCAGTTGCCCGATTTTACAAGGTATAACACATAAAATAAATGGGAATATAAGTAGATACATCAAACATTTTTTGTTTTGCTTTTTTGTTTTTTGTTTGTTTTGTATGTCTTAAAATATTTAGTTTTATACGTGTATAACGTGCCTTATATGTCCTACTCTGATAAGATTTTTCGGATATTTCCGAAGCACAAGCATGGATTCTTATTCTTGTCTTTTTTTTCTCTCTCACTGTATTGGTAGATACTATTGTAAAAGAGAATTCCAGCCCGATTATAAGGTATGTTTCGTTTCGTTGATAACAGAAGTCAAATGAACAAATCTTGATAAGTGTCAGTAAGACGTAATATCGTCAAATTATCTCAAATCTTATTCTATTCTATATTTTTTCTTTCGCTAAGCAAGATGGGGATATATCCTTAATTTTTTTTTTTTTTTAAATCCGAATTGTAGTCTAAATGGACTTTGATGATGGCACTGCACAACCGTTAAATGAAATATTGTACCAGATAGCAAACAATTATGACCATTCTCATGTATACCTTTTAATCTTTGCTAGCTTACACTAGATATTTATCTAGGAACGGTATAGAAAGAAAATTAATGTTTAAGTTTTCGATTATCACATCAATGGGATTTTAGTTAAGATTGATTATCGATTATGACATTAGTGATTAGGAAACAATTCTAACCTAGCGCTACAAGCAGAAACTTCATCGACTGCTGCTGATGCAACTTGAGGAGGAATATCGACTGATGTGGATGCCAACGGTCTCAGAGAAGCGGACACTGTGTTTCCTGGTGATGTCTCGGTCATTCCTATTTGTTTGTGAGAGTGGGACATTGTGTTAACCTCGTAAATATATTTATTAATTATGATCATGTTATTAGTTGTATAATCACGATGTATTATAAATTGGATTACGATTCAATCACACGAAAAATCATTTTCATTTAATTAATCTTGTTAACCTCATGGTATTATTATTACTTTTCTTGTAAATTGCGAATGATAAACATACAATTCTTGTTGGTAAGATTAAGTTTGAATTTGGAAAATTTGTATTGATTCATGTAAGCAAACAAATTGTGACTACAAAAGTTGTGACTAAATTCGAAATGCATTTGCCAATTTTCCATTTTGAAGGTTACTTCTACTTTAATTTATAATCTATTTTAAAGGATTTAAGTGTGGGTATGGTTATAAGTTTGCCTTCACGTATTTTATGTACGTAAAAACAGAGGTAACTTACCATGCATTAAACAAAATTATTTTAACTGTTCAAATTTTTGATTTTATTTTCTTGTCCATACTAACTTGCCACATCGTCGTTCAGAAGGTCGTCTGCTAGTCGATGGTGATTAATCGCGATCAGGGCTTTCTTCAACTGTTTACTTTCTTCGGTCCTTGTAGTCCTGTTCCTCCAATCACGGAGCATAATAAGTGTTCCCATGTATGTGACGTTTTGGTATTTTTCGTTCGTTTGCATGTAACGTTGTACTTCCGGAGGTTCAAAACCCAATTCCCCGCCTAGACTGTCGATGTCAGTATTCTCATGAATCCGCTTAGCTACTGTCTTGAGAAGGTCGTCAAAATCTTGCTCCCTGGATTCCTCGGTAGGTCTATATTTGTATGGAGAAAATATGAAATGTTACCTTTCATATGATAATCTCACTTGACCGATTTTACAATGTTATAACACCTCAAATAACTGGGATTGTAAGTGGATACATGAACCATATTTTCTATATAACGTGCCTTTATATATATATATAAATCCACTCAGATAACATTTGTTGGTTATTTCCAGAGCACAAGCATGAATTCTAATTCGTTTCATCTTTGTTGTCTCTCTCACTTTCTTGTTAGATGCACATTTTCTAGCCAGATTATATGGTATATTCCATTTTGTGTAGCGTAGATGACAGGTCTGAGTCAAAGTATAAAGTATTGATGAGTGCCAGGAGGATGTAATTCCTATAAAAAAAATTCAAATCTTATTTTATTCTATTTTTTTCTTCGCATTCCATTAAAATAAGATGGGAGTGTATACCCAAAATAAATGTATTTATCCAAATCTGAATATTAGTCAAAACAGATTTATGATAGCATTGCAAAATTGTTAAATGAAGATATTGTAGCAGAACGCAAACAATCATGCAGTTCTCGCATATATTTGTTGATCTTTGCCCTCTTATACTATATCGGGATATCATTATTGAATCGAATTGAATTGAATTGAAATTATTTATTCACCACCATTGAAACCATTCACACAAAAGATATACAAATGTACAATGACAATGTCAATATACACTGTCGCTCATAAAAGGTGGAATTTTTTTTTTTAACCCAATTTATGGAATTATTTTATAAATGATTTAAAAATAATAGATCTAGATAATAGTATACATTCTCAGATTTTATTGAACAATAATTTGCGAATGTGTGCTTTGCGTGACTGCTAAAGCATATGTATGCTACTATGCTTATCAACTAGGGGACTTATGCCCTTAAGTCATAAATGACAGTAATGAGGATTAATGCCCCACAAAAGGGCACTAATATAGCACATCGACACGGTTTTGATCCTGGGGCCTCACAGTTACGAGGCCATTGCTTTGTCACTGAACCATGACTGTACGCAGCGGGGGCTAGGGTAGGGGGCAGTTTCCATAAATTAAAAAAAACACAGAAAATGCAATAAATTTTCAATAATTTATTGTTCCGGTTCCGGTTCCCAACATAAAAAAATCTTCTGTGTGCCCATGCCTTGAGCCATAATGCATGGCAGTCCAGAGGATTTTTTTTATGTTGGGGACCGGGGTAAAATGCAATAAATTATTGCAAATTTTTTGCATTTTCTGTTTTTTTTTTAATTTATGGAAACTGCCCCTTACCCTAGCCCCCGCTGCGAACAGTCATGGTTCAGTGACAGAGCAATGGCCTCGTAACTGTGAGGCCCCAGGATCAAAACCGTGTCGATGTGCTATATTAGTGCCCTTTTGTGGGGCATTAATCCTCATTACTGTCATTTATGACTTGAGGGCGTAAGTCCCCTAGTTAATAAGCATAGTAGCATACACATGCTTTAGCAGTCCCGCAAAACACACATTAGCAAATTAATATTCAATAAAATCTGAAAATGTATACTATTATCTAGATCTATTATTTTAAATAATTTTTAAAATAATTCCATAAATTGGGGTAATCCCTAAAATATTCCACCTTTATGAGCGACAGTGTAACATATATACATGACATGAATGATAAAGATACATATTCTACAGCGATATACATGTACATTATAAAAAAAGAAATAAATAATCCCATCAATGATATTTTTTTCAATCAATAATTATTGGTTCGCTGACCATGATACAAATTGCTAAAGTTCCAAACTCGAAATGGGATTATGACGTCTTTATTAGCTTCCTCAAACGAAGAGTCGAAGACAACACAGAATCAAGAGGCAAGCCAGTTCTGTGCATTTTCAGTGATGCTTCAGAAAGTGCATATGGTACATGTGCGTACCTTAGATGGCGGACTGATGACAATAAGTATGAGGTGCGGTTTGTGGCAGCTAAGTCAAAGGTAGCACCACTCAAGACTTTGACGATGCCTCGTCTCGAACTTCAAGCAGCAGTAGTAGCCGCGAGACTTTACAAGGCAATCAGCGAGGAGATAAGGCTGGAGATAGAGAAGGTGGTTTTCTTCGTTGACAGCATGATTGTTTTCCACTGGATCAAGTCGCCTGCGAGAAGCTTCAAGGCGTTTGTGTCAAGCAGAGTGGGGGAAATTCAGAGTTTAACAGATCCCTCACAGTGGAAGCACATCCCAGGAACTTTTGCAATTTTTATCATGGTCAGCGAACCATAGCATTCAATTTCTTTGGCCGGAACTTAGCAATTTACTGCCGAAACACTGGGCTCACTGATGTCACTGTCAAACAGGACAAAAACGGGAAAACTGGGAAAACTGGAGAGCTCATCTCCAGTGACTTGACGCTCGACAGACTACACGAACAAGTGACTAAAATGGCTTCGCTACTTATCGAAGTCGAAAGTAAGGTATCCTTGAAAAACAAATACTCAAAGAAAGGCCATTTCAAATCCTACTATAAAAAACATTGATCATGAATACAACAGACATTGTAAATATTTAAATTGCCAATTCACCTTCTATAAAATACCTAAATGCTTCATTTAGGCTGAAAGAGAATAAATATCTATCTTTCCTGATATTATAATTAACAAAATGAACCTTTTTTCTTATCTTATGAAACAAAGAATCTGAACTCTAAAAATCTCTTCTAAGATTTTCGACTTGCTGAAAAAACCACAAAATAAATTTCGCTCAGCGAAACATCCTCCCCCCGGATGAGGACTTTTCCTCATATTCCTTAGTCTCAATTCAAGACTTAATTATATTAACATAGACAAATACATAGAAAACTTTTACTGAAGTTTTATTCTAGTTTCTGTTCAAGACCTTTTCAGAGTTGTCTATAAATCCTATACGCTCTCATCGTAGCCTTCAGTGGGATAAATAACCGCTATCTTCGTAACTGGTCTGCGATATATGCCCACCGCTGTTTTCAACTGTACGTTCCTAACTCTACCATCAGCACCAGGATACACTTGTATCACCCTGGCAATTGTCCACTTTCCGCGTACCGCGTTTGCTTCTGCGGTCATGACGACGTCCCCCACGCGTACATTACGACGCTCTGTGTTCCACTTCTTGCTAGGCACGAGGAGCGGAAGAACATCTCGAGACCAGCGTCTCCAGAACGAATCTACTATACGCTGTACGAACTCGACGCGATGACGCGGATTCTCTGTCTCCCTAAACGGACCTTGGGGTACGCTTCGCGACGCTCTTCCTAACAACATATCATTAGGACTAACATAACTTCCATCATCTGGATCATTCGGTATCCTACCAATGGGTCGCTGGTTTACTAGGTTTGCTATCTCAACTAAACATGTGTACAGCTCAAAGGGTGTTAAACACTGACTACCTACTGCTTTGTGTAGAGCAAACTTACAACTTTTAACAAGTGCCTCGGCACATCCATTCTGATGTGGAGCTAATGGCGTGGTGAACTGCCATTCAACTCCTATCTCTGCACAAAAATCTCGAAGCTGCACATCATCCCACCCTTTCACCATCTCTCGTAACTCACGCTTGGCACCCACAAACTGAGTACCGTTGTCGCTCATGATGACCTTAGGGTGACCTCTAATCGCGAAAAACCTTCTGAGAACCTGCAGGAACTCTTGCGTTGAACAATCTACTGCTAGCTCAAGGTGAACCGCTCTTGTATTCAAACAAGTAAATATCACGCCATAGTGCTTCGCTTTCTTGTTTCGACTAACTTTCACATGATATGGGCCGAAGTAATCACACGACGTAAAATGAAACGGCGGCGTGAACGGAGCTACTCTGATGCTTGGTAGGCTGGCCATCTGCTGTATCTCTGCCTGGCATGCTGCTGCTCTGCATACCACGCAGCGGTGCTTTACCGACTTAGCAAGCCGGTGTCCCTTCAGGATCCAGAACCTCTTTCTTGTCCTGGCTGTCGTCGCTGCTACACCATGGTGACCCGATTCATGCATGTACCTAGTGATCAGAAGTGAAATACCATGGTCATATGGGAGTAGAACAGGATGCTTAGCTTCATATGATATGTCCATGTTTCCCACTCTACCACCAACTCTGATCACCCCTTCCTCATCGATGAAAGGAGTGAGCACCTTGAAGTCTCCCTTCTTGAAGTGTGGCTTGATTCTCTCCTGGGCTACCTTTATCCAATACATCTCAGCTCTCTCTAACTCTGTGGTAGTTAGAGTCGTCTTCTCGTCGGGTAGAGGCCCCTTATGGATTCTGGACTTCAAGATATTAACGAATCTCATCACGTAGGCTGTCACTCTCAGTAATTTTCTCCATTTAGAGAACTTCTTGCACTCTAGCAATTCACTTGTCTCATGTACTGAGAATACTGCCGGAGACTTCCTCTGCTCACTATCAACAGCCCGCTGATCTGCCTCGGGCTCATCTACTGGCCATTCTGATTCATCAGTGTAGAGAAAGCTAGGGCCATGCTTCCACACTTCAGCCAGTTTGTCAACAGTTACTCCTCTTGACACATCATCAGCGGCATTCAATTTCTAGAGCTATCACCAGTTCTAGCAAGATGCCAGAATCAGAAGCAACAGCACAGCTGAAGTTGAAGCGGCGGGGTGCCAAAGCTAAATTGACAAGATGTGGAAATGCAGTAGAGCAGCTCATTTCAAAGAAAGCAAGCATGGAAGCTGTTGAGGAGAGATTCCATCATCTCAAGATCGTGTATGAAGAGCTGCAAGAGAAGCACGAAAGTTATTCGGAGTTGATCCTCGATGATGATCAGTTCGAGAAGGAAGAGAAGTGGATGGAGGTCTGCGACACATCTTTCATAAACTGGCAAGTAAACGCTTCAAAGTATCTTGACGAGTTAAAGGAGAGAGGAGAACCAGAGAAAGTGGAAGCAGCGCCTTCTACTGAGAGTCCTGCAGATGCAGTCCAGTCTGGGTCTGGTCAGTCCTCCTCTCCTGAAGTAGCATCCGCTCCATACAGCCTGAGGATTGAGAAGCCGCATCTGCCCAAGTTTAGCGGAGATGTCCGGGAGTTTTTCGTTTTCCGAGACGATTTCAAACATCTGGTAGAAAGCCGATATAGTAGTAGGGATGGTATCACCATCCTACGTAGCTGCCTGCAGGGTAAGCCCCTCGACCTTATCCGGGGTATTGGAACTGATTATAATGCTGCATGGGAGCAGTTAGAGTTAATTTATGGAGATCCCAGATTCGTAGCTGATGCTATCATAGATGACATCAGCAAGTTCCGAGCACTAAAGGAGAATGAAGATAGCCGCTTCTGCGAATTAGTGCATCTGGTGAGGAGAAGTTACAACATCCTTGTAAGTGTGGGAAGGCAGCATGACATGGACAACAATCACATGTTGGCCTCTATTGAGAGGAAGTTGAGCCAAGGAGACCGCAAGGTATGGTTCAGATGCCAGGAGAAGGATGAAGATCCAGCATCACTACACATGCTCCTGGAGTGGATGGCCAACGAGATGAAGGCCAGGATGCGTGCCTCAGCCCCGCTACGTAGTGAATCCCGCCAAGGAGCTGTTGGTTTCTGTGCGCAGAAAGACACGAGGCCAGAAAAGGAGCGGAAGTGGGTTCCAACACCTAGTGCCAAAGACAGGTGTTGGATCTGCCACTCATCAGACCACTGGATAGACCAGTGCAAGAGGTTTATCTCCAAACCAGCATCAGAAAGATTGCAGATTGCCAAGGAGAATCGGGCTTGTTTTAGCTGCCTTAAGCAAGCAGAGAGGGGGCATTTGATGGCAACATGCAATAGACGCAGACAGTGTCCAGAGATGAGACAAGGCCAAAGGTGTAAATTCTATCACCATCCATTGCTGCACCTGGAGTGGGTACCGAGGCAAGATGATAGTTTGGAGCAAACCCAACGAGGCCAAGTGGGAGTCGCTACAGTTGTAGCTAAGGAGTCTCTTCTACCCATTGTTTTGGCAGAGGTCTTAGGATGCAATGGTGATGTGAAGGAGGGAAACGTGTTGCTAGACTCTGGTGCCCAGATAAGCCTTATCCGGCAGGAGTTAGCAGCAGAGCTGTAGTTAGAGGGCACACCTACAACCATTACCATTTGCAAGATTGGAGATGAGCAGGAGCTTCTGCACACTAACATCTACAAAGTGCTAGTTAGAGAGAAAGGTGAAGGTGGCAAGCCTTTTACTGTGTCAGCCATAGGAATTCCGTGCATTAGCGAGCATGTACAGGCTATCAACTTGGACGATCTAGCAAGGAAGTTTCGCATAAAACGGAAGGATCTACATAGAAGTAGTGGACCTGTGGACATTTTGATAGGAGTTGACCACACAAGGTTTCATTGCGGTGAAACCAGGGAAGTTGGCAACTTTATTGCTAGAAAGTCGAGGATAGGTTGGGTTATCTTTGGAGCAACACGTGGTGACAGAGTGCAGAGCAGTGCAGTACTGCATGTAAAGTTAGCAGCACCTGTAGATTTGACGGACTTTTGGTCAGTTGAGACAGAGGGAGTGAGGCCTGAAGGATGCCAGTGTATAGAGAGCAGACTCACTAGACAAGAGGTGATAGAGGAACAGGTGATCAGGTCCTCAGCTCACAAGATTGGAAAGCAGTGGCAGATAGCCTACCCTTGGCAACGAGATCCTGAGATGTTGCCTGACAATAAGTGGCAAGCAGAGAAGGTGCTTCAGTCCACCGAGAAGAGGCTTGCCCGGAATCCTGAGCACGCTAAAGCTTATGACCAACAGATCCAGGAAATGGAGGATATGGGGTTTGCCAGGAAGCTCTTACCCCAAGAGATGGAGTGCCATGAAGGGCCAGTACATTATATCTCCCATCATGCTGTTGTGAGAGCTGAGAAAAAGAGTACTCCAATCCGGATAGTATTCAACTCGTCAGCATCATTCCAAGGCCATAGTTTAAACGAGTACTGGATGAAAGGGCCTGACCTCTTGAACAGTCTACCTGGAGTGTTGTTAAGATTCAGGGAGAAGTACATCGCCATTTGTGCAGATATCTCCAAGATGTACCACAGGGTGCTCATACCAGAGAGTGACCAACATGTGCACAGGTTTCTTTGGAGAAACATGGATGTCAGTAGAAGGCCAGACGTATACATCATGAAGGTAGTAACCTTTGGAGATAAACCGGCAGCAGCAATGGCGCAGATTGCTCTCAAGATGACTGCTGAGCAGGGGGAGAGTAAATACCCAGAAGCAGCCAATGTACTCAAGAGGAATGTGTACATGGACGATATTTGTGACTCCGTGGAGACGCTTTCTGAAGCAGAGACGCTCACTGGCGATATAGATGAGGTACTTTCAAATGGTGGCTTTAAAGTGAAGGGATGGTTATCAAATAAACCATTGCATGGAGACAGCAAGGAAGGAGAGATGAAGCTGCTAGAAGCCCTTGCTGAAGAGAAAGTGTTGGGTGTCGTATGGGACAAGAAAGACGATGTGTTCTCATACAGAGTAAAGTTCCGTGAAGGAGTGATGCCTTCAGCCAATGAAGGAGAGAGCCGTCTGAAACTCACCAAGAGGAAGATTCTAAGCCAGGTAGCCCGAGTCTCTGATCCCATTGGATTTGCAGCTCCGATCATCGCACGTGCTAAGATGGGTCTACAGAAGCTATGGCAGATGGGTCTTGGATGGGACGATCCATTACCAGAGAATGAGCAAACTGAGTGGACTAAGTTGTTTGAGGAGATGACTTTGCTCAACAATGTCAAACTGAGGAGATGTCTTACACCACAAGATGCAAGAGGCAAGCCAGTTCTGTGCATTTTCAGTGATGCTTCAGAAAGTGCATATGGTACATGTGCGTACCTTAGATGGCGGACTGATGACAATAAGTATGAGGTGCGGTTTGTGGCAGCTAAGTCAAAGGTAGCACCACTCAAGACTTTGACGATGCCTCGTCTCGAACTTCAAGCAGCAGTAGTAGCCGCGAGACTTTACAAGGCAATCAGCGAGGAGATAAGGCTGGAGATAGAGAAGGTGGTTTTCTTCGTTGACAGCATGATTGTTTTCCACTGGATCAAGTCGCCTGCGAGAAGCTTCAAGGCGTTTGTGTCAAGCAGAGTGGGGGAAATTCAGAGTTTAACAGATCCCTCACAGTGGAAGCACATCCCAGGAACTTTTGCAATTTTTATCATGGTCAGCGAACCAATTATAAGAGTTACTTTATCGGCATTATCGATTAGGCAACCATTCTTACCTGGCTTTAGGAATATAATTTTCACCGTCTCCTGCTGATGCACCTTGAGGAAGAATGTCAAAAATTTGAGGGGGGGGGGAATAGTAAGAAAAAATATAGAGTACAAAGCAAACAGTAGGTGTGTTTTTATATTAAAGAGGTTATTCATAGGTTTTTTGGGTAAGTTCGTCTCTGCCCATGACATGAAATCAACTTCCTTCACTATTTTGTAGTCGATAGTAAATATTAATGTCAGTTAGTTTTAATGAAACAGAAAACTAGAACCGATCTCCAGATTTCTATTTGTATCTCTTCCGTCAGAGGCAATGAACATTTCATGTATTCTATGTTAGGAGGTAACCATGACAACAAATCTATCTCTATTTATAACCTTTACTCAAAACAGTACAGTGTTATTAACAAGAAAATAAAAATTTAGCATGGTTAATGAATAGTCTGAGTAAAACACAGAGCCTCCCTAGCTTCAGGAAAATGCTAAATTATTTCAAAACTTACCACGATGAGCAAGGAAATGTGTTCTGAATCTTATATCCATCGGAAGCATTGACTGTATCACTTTCAGCTTCACCAGCAGGTCATCGGCTTTCCCGTTGAAATCTAAATCGAAGTAGACAGTATGCCTAGTCTTTCGGATGAAGCTTGCATCGACATTCTGTCATCGAAAAAAATCAAGCATGTATATTAACACAATCGGCAGGAAAAGATGACAGAAAATAATATTTGAATATACTTTGAGAGGATTGCACATGGATTACATGAAATGTGCAGGTACAGGTGATATTATCAAAGTGCATTTTCCATATAAGATAAAAGGCACAGGTACTATGGAGGGTAGGATCATAAATAATTGACAGCTGGAGTTACAGCTATGTGCTCATCTTTGGGGAAGGTTCGGAGCTGCCACACCAAGCGTGACAAGTATTGGTCTCTCTTGCAGGTGCTGAAAACATTCAAATAGCTCTCTGTTACATTACGAAAAGACATTTATATATCTGCTAACCTCATATTCGCTCGTTGTATAGATTTATGGTTGTAAATTACGGTTCTAGGACACCTACGTCCCCCCCCCCAGATAACCA